TACACAAACACTTTCTTTTTTCCTCTCCCTCCCTCCCTCCCTCCCTCTCTCCCTCTCTCTCTCTCTCTCTTACGTGAATGCTCTTTTAATGGTTCCAGTATCAATGGGTCCAATGCTACCTCCAGTCTTTGGCATTGAGTGTAATATATCTGATGAGGTCTTCCATACAAACATATCCTGTAAACAACAACAAACAAAAATAATTAAAAATAGAAAATATTGATAGTCAATGCCTTATGATACATACATATGTACATGTATAAATAAATTTGATTAATTGAGCAGTTTTTGAGTTATGAGCATTTTAGGAATAGATTACTGTATAGCTAAAAATTTGGGGGTGGGGGGGGGGGGTAAAATTTTGGAAGACTACTAAAGTTTTTATGATTGGCAAATTTTAATTTGGCAAATTTGTGTCCATGTGCCATTGAGCATGTACAATGTACATACATGTAATGGCTCAAAATGACTGGTTTTAATTTTGGCAGTTAAAATTCCAAATTTTCCAAAAACCCCCTGTACTATAGCCCATGCTTCTTAATAATGACCCTACACTCACTGGAGATGGGGCACAGTTACTGGTACACATCATTTGAGATATTTTATTAATTAGTTCTGTTTTAATTGATGAGTCTCCGTTAATTTTAAAAGTTAATAATCTCTCCTGAGGATCATCAGACCAATGGACTAACAGACCAAAACCATTAACAACATCTAATAAAATAAATAAATAAATAAATAAATATTATGTACATGTATGACGTACCTTCGCTGTCAGTGAAATCAATGACTGATCTAATATTAGAATATGTTAGGAATTCCAAGTGTCTAAAAATAGTAACAAGAACAACAGTAATACATGTACATGTACGTACATTACATGTATATGTATATGTACATGCATGTATACTAAAAATACATGTACATGTACCTGTATGGTTTGTATGAGTCCTTCATAGCAACAAAACCATGACCACTTCTTATCTTAACAATCTGTAGGAGAGAGGGAGGGAGGGACACTAATTAATAAGACCATCCAATAGTACAGGGTATTTTTCAGATTTTGGGATTTTCTTAAAATGGCCATAACTCGAAAAATTGAAGTCGGAATTAGCTCAAACTTGCTA